AACTTACATAAGAACTTAAAGCTAGATGTATATATTATTTTCACTTAGAAGTTAGGTCCCCTTTAGGTCCCTTTTAGGTCCCCCGGGTCCCGGGTCTCGAGAGGCCTTCACACTGCTAGCGATGCGTGAGAGAGTACATATTTTTAGATATGTCTACTACGTCTCATAGATTATGGGATTGAATTAAAAAATAAAGACGTTTTTTTCATTTATGTCTGTATTAAAGTAATATTGATATATATATGTTAGTTATTTTTAATATAGATAAGACAAACTAATGGAAATATTACTTTCATAAAACACGTAAAGTTTAAATCTTCTATATTCTTTGGTTAAAAATTCATTTAAAATAAGTATGTACTCATTGTTGAACCTAACAAGTATAGGTATAATATATAAATATATTTAAATATTATATAAATTATCATATCTTCGAGTGCTTATTTATATTAAGACTAGAGTGATACAACCGAATGTATTTTAATATCGGGATAGTAAAATTAATTTTATTGCATGGCCTCTCTTAACGCACGATTTATCTTAGTTGACAAATTGTTATCAATGTGTTATCTAGTTCCCACTGCTTCGAGACCGAAGCATCGACCGTATTAGTCGATAAAACCTACTCAACACACTACTGTTAAAAAACTTTATTCTACCAATAAAATGCTAACAGTTCTATATAATAAAATCGTCTAGAGATGTGATCTCTATTGCTATATGAATAAGGTGCAAATTTGTAAGCAAATCCACCGGCCACCCACGGCGATTTTCTCCGAAAATATCCAAGAAAATAACACGCTAGTAGAATGCTAAACGACTAATTAGTGCTGGAATCAGAACATTTAATATGATCATTCAAAAACATGAATTACATAAGTCTTAATTAGAACTGGTTATTAATTTGTATTAGGTATTGTTGTAATTTCTTATATATGTGCTTTATTTTTATAATAATTCTATACATAAGAAGAGAGAATTTTGAGGGAAAATCTAAGTGTAATATTGAAGATTATTTGATTTCTAAAACATATATATACGCCAATAGAATGAACGTGTTATTCCCAAAGAGGGTTGATGTCAGGCAGGCGGCCGGTCGTAAAAACAAATAGCCAAAATTATTCACAACATGTAAGGCAGACCCTGGCTACAGCTGGGAAATTTCCAGGTTGAAGAAGAAGAAGAAGAATGAACGTGTTAGTTAAGAAAATTGTTACGACTGTCATAAAAGTTTTTAAATATCATTACCTAAACAAAATTCTGCAATTAAGTACATTTAAACTTTGCTCTATAATGTATTGGTGAATCAAAGTGACGTGGTTATTTGGTTTTGATTTATTTGCTTATTGTAACATGTATATTAAATCGTTCTGAATCACTGTCATTTCACATTAAAATTAATTCGACCATCCATTAACATATCTTTCACGTAATTAATCTGTTACCAGTTTAAATGTACTCTGTAATTTTCATTTTATTTCTGATTTCAATTAAGTAGATAACGTATTGTTTGGTGTGGATTACATCCTGACAGGGATTAAAAGGATCGATACAAAACCTTACAATGTTTTAATGAGAAATAATGAAAATATTCCCCATAAAATAATAGCACTCCTAACAGACGAGTGTTATCAAAAGCCCACAATTTAAATTCGCAACACTCTTAGACACCTCTCCCTTTGCAACCGAATTTTCTGATCATACTTTTTAAGCACTTATTAACCCATCTTGAATCCCCTAATACGAATTTATACTCTTGCCGCAATGAATAATATCGGAAATTCGATATAATTTGAATACAATTCGGTTACCCGGATAAATTTGACAAGGTTCTTTTTTTATATGATTTACTTATCTATGGTGGTGATTTTTCTTTGAATACAGATCGGTAAAGATAGCACTTGAAACATGAATAATACATCTGCGATTTGTTGTCACTTAATATTGTAGAAGTTTGTTTAATTTTAATCATTAAGTATTTAGAATGGATTAAGAGAATAATGTTTTATTTCAAATCGAAAAAGATCGTTTTAATTAAGATAGCTATATAGATATATTTTTTGAAAGTATTCGTACATTTTTATATCAAATGTATTTAAACTAATAATGTAAGTCACTAAGTAAGTTAGAACGAGGATTATACATACATATATACTTTTAAAAGCTACATAGCTTCTGTCCTCTTATGACTCTGTTAGTGGATATTCCTTTGAAAATAAAGACTTAAATTTTAATTAAATTCACATAATTCAGATGAGTATAATTCTGAAATAAATTTAGTATTAATTCAGAGTTATAAAACAAAGTTATAATAAACATAATGGTAAATATAGAGGCTGGCATAAATTATTAAAGAAGATGATCATACAAACGTTTTTCGTACCCTATTTGGTAACAAGATAAAAGGTGTAGTTAGCAAAAATTCATGCAGTGCTCGAATTATAAGTATTGAATTTAACATTAAACACATGTTAAGAAAATTAATGGGCCATTTAATTAAATTAATTACTATCGTAGATGGTTTTTTTTAACTATTCAAAACAGGTTATAAATTAATGCGGCTTTATGATGAAGTGGTAATTTAGGTATTTTGCAAAGTAACAAAAAATGTAAATGTATGCTTTATGTACAAATATATAATTTATTATTGAAAATAAATAATTTGTTTCTTTTAAATTCTTACGAGAAAAAAGGAATGCCAATAAATTTTTGTACTTCTTAAAATTCCGACGGCTGGATGTTAATGTATTCACGAATTGTAATTATATTAATGCGAGATAGCATATTGAAAAAACATACGAAAAGAAAATATAAATATTTGATTATTATGCGATCATTTTGAGATAGTTCACCACTACTCGACCACAGATGGCGCTCTCCTGAATTATCTACCTCAAGACCTCAAATAGTATTTGAATATCTGGTCTTAATTTATATCTATATTTATAAAGAGTTGCTTTGTTATAATGAATAGACAGTGAAGGTCATATGGATCTTGAACTTAACAATGACAGCTGTCATTAAATTAGTTTTTCTTTATTTTTCCAGAATACGCATATTTTTGACTATAATAAATTCATACTTCTGCAATGGTTTTAAATGTATCCAACATATTTTTCATCACGCGGTTCCAATATCTTTATAATTCTAGAATATTCGTTTACTTTACATTGACACAAACATGTTTCCGTGTTTGTAATTTGAGCGGCAAAATATATTCGATTACAATTACAGTTTTATATGACATGACATAAGGCACAGATACTGAATTAGGTGTTAATATTTTTTATCACAATTATTTATCTTTATAATATTATTCAGTACAATGTATTGTTAATTTCCGTATACGGAAAGGTCTAATGTATATGTATATATAGTGTATATGTATGTGTTTGTGTGTGTGTGTGTGATAGTCATGTCAAAGATCTCCTTGAGATGTTATCTTGCAATCTAGTGTCATATAGATTGTTATCTGACCATTTTTAGCGCGGAAACAACATTTTTTAAATATATCTTTATTGCGTTCGTTAAAAACAATGCACGGACAGAGCTTTGTCAATATTTTTCCCGTCACATGACTAATTAATTGCTAACTGTCAAGAAAATGTTAATAGTTTATATGGAATCTGTTATGAAGTCGTTTAATTCAATGTGTAGTGTATAATTATGTGTAGAAATCAATAGCAAGGATATAATTAATAAATTAATAGCTTCCTATCAGCTGTTTCGTATACGCGAGGAACATTCAGTTGAAACTCAGTACGGACACTTCGTTCCGAAACCATTCATTCACTCGATGGTACATTCATACAAGATAGTCTACATTCATACATACATAGTTTTTCATACTCATATTATGCACAATGTTTTACTAAGTTTCGAATGTTCTGGAAGGTTATTATTTTTTTCTTGTTTGTTTAAATTTGTCATAGTTTTTTTTGTATTATCCGCAGATTATATATCAAAAAAGGTTTTATTACTTTTTAAAATTGATTTTATTAAGTATGTTATCGTTATAATTCTGTTTAAACCTAAAATGAACAGGCGTTGTAGTTGCTTATGAGAAATTAATTTAAGTATGAACTAACTGTGGTCCGAGTGACGGTTTAAAATATCAGCGGTTAATACTCTTGGTAAAATATACGCCGTGTATAAATCTGTTATTAAAAATTGTATGGAAATTGTAGTATATTTTATGAACGCGTCTACAAACAAACAAACATGTATAGAAAAACTATTTAAAAGACTTATCTGTCTTATTATATGCAGTCATTGTCATAATAAATGTAAATACTTATATATTTTTTTAATTATTTGTAATGAATTCAATATTAATAATTATTTTGTAAATATTCAACTGTCTGTGAGATTTCATTATACTTGAACAAAGTTTAGCATATGAAGATTTAATATAAGTTATTTTATGAATCTTTCCTTTTGTTACAAATTCATTGCTGACACAATCTGTAGTCAGTATTTTAATTTTCAATATCCTACGTAATGGATTGAGAAATGAACTTAGAATTATTACTACTTTATATAATAAAAATATTGTATATTAATAAGGGAGTATGCAGCTTCTTATATTAATCATTCATTAACAAGACTGGGTCGTAGGCAATTATCTCCGCTATTTTGCAGATTTAGGAAGCATAAGAGACGTCGCACTACTGTCATGAGCTACGTGGAGTGGATGACGAATACGATGTTTTGTACATCCAGATACAATAATATATACGTATAGTGATTCATCGAGTATTATATGAGTTTTATAAAATAATAATACAGTAAGAAACGACTAGGAATGAGGACTGGAGCAGCCGAATACCGACTACTGAGACGAAGTACACAAGTTCGATAACTATTCGAAATAGAGATTCGTGGAGTGGTATCGCTAGAGACAAACAGCCACCGAGAGGACGGCGCGGCCTCGAGCTGGTCGGATGTGGTGGAGAGTCGCCCGACCAGCACAAAAGATATCGGAGTAACGAGCTCAATTGATGAACGAACGGAAACGTGTCCAATTAGAAGGAGGCGGCGGAGTCCCCCGCGCTATAACGAGATTAGCGACCTCGAGCGAGCTAGGTGTGGCGGCGCGGAGCGGACACCTCGCGCGACGAAAAAACAAGGCCCGCGGCGCCGCCCGGCCCCCGAGACTCCTAGTCCCCTTGTCCCCGCAGCCCCTCGGCCGCCCTGCCAGCCGGGGGCGGGACTATCCGCGCCATTGGCCGCGGCGGGAGGGGTGTCGGAGCCGGCGCCGCAGCCGGCCAGTCGTTTGACGCCTGCCGCGCGAGCGGGTGTCGCGGGCGAGTGTCGCGCGTCATGGTCGTCGCATGACCGCTGGATCCGAGGATCACGCCGGCCGTGGAGCGCTCGCTGTGGGCCCCGGGCGGCGCGGGCATGCGCTTCGAGGGCGGTGAGCGGCGCGACGCCGTCGCCTTCCACCCGCTGCTGGCGCCGCGGCCCAGCGACTTCTCGGTGTCGGCGCTGCTGACGGCCGGCGCCCTGCCGCCGCCGCCCTACCTGCCGGCCGCGCTGGCCGCCGCCGCCGCGCTGTCCGCGCCCTGTCCGCTGCTCAAGCCGCCGCCGCCGCCGTACGCACCGCTGCCTCCCGACGACGACGGGGTCATCGACGACCCCAAAGTCACGCTCGAGGGGAAAGACCTCTGGGAGAAGTTCCACAAGCTGGGCACCGAGATGGTGATCACCAAGAGTGGCAGGTCAGTACGGCTCCTCGCTCCTCGCTCAATGCTCGACGCCTGTGAACGTGCCTACTTTGTTACCGGTTGTTCTGTCTCAGTGGTTATCGCACTGCTGCGTGTTTTCATACAGTTCATGTCTTATACTTATTGTTCCACGAGTCCCTCGTGTCCAACACTCGCTAGGTTCATGTCTGATGACTCTCACAACCGTCTCTAATCCGACCCTGTCGAGGAACACGGAACGTAACAACTGCGAATGTTTACAACGTTGTTTACAAGAACTTCCTCGGAACTCGACACGTACCATAACAACCAACATAACATTATATATACAACCGGCATCTTATTAATTCCAATCGAAGATTTTTGTATGTAAAAATAATTATAACAACTTATTATTTCCAACTAAACTCTTAAACTTTACGTTCGAATGTCAGGTCGCGATAAAAAGAGTAGAATAAAAAACGTGAATCATTGTATGTTACAACGATCCGAATAGATGTAAAAACAGTGAAACAAACGGACCGAGGTTACAATGACAATGTTAGAAAACATAAATAAAATGTGTAACATCAGTGTCACATGTTAAAAGTGTTAAGCATCAACATTTCCGTACGCATATGCATCATAGGCGCATTTTTTCGCCACCTCCCGACGGCTCTACATTGATTAATAACACGCGTCATATAATTAAATACTACATAAATATTAACGAACGTAACGAAACAGTGTATGAAGAAAATAAATAAATAAATATTAAGCAACAAGAATATTCTCATAGTCAGATAAATCTTTTAATTCTATATATATTTTTCCTTCACACCACACGTCGGTTTACAGTAGTGAGGCGTGTAAAAGTTTTTTATTGAAAACACCAAGAACTCGATACACATATTAACACGTTAAAATAATTTGAATCGTCGATGAAAAATATAAAATGAATTGAGTAAGTATTTTTATTTACGTTTTTTATATATATATCGCTGTTGCAATTGTTTTTAATATAAAAGTTATGAGAATGCGGCTGTTGTTTGAGAGATACCTTTTAATATTTGTGCTTTAAATTTATTTTAATACATTATCCGTATCGCATAGACAACATTGAATTCTCATTTACTTTGGAAAAGGATGCAATTTTTGTTCGTTCACTCTTATTATGTGTAATATTTTTTATATTGCAATAATTTTTTTTGATCACTAAAATTAAAATTTCGCATATTAATATTATATGAAAAATATTATAATCATAAGAGTTTGAAAGGGAACGAATGAAAATTGTTTCTCATATATTAAGTCAGTTGATCAACGGACGCTATTCATTATATGTATGTTATTATAATTTCTGTTTGACCATTAATATATATTTCTTTCCAGTACTGTCTGCGGTATAACCTGTAATTATGATTCCTATGCGAATTTATATTGAATTGAACGATATTGTAATGTTTTTTTTTGCTGGCGCGGCGCTATTTTATCAGTAACTCGCTAAGCTACTTTAATTGTTTTATAGGTATGGTTGGTGGGCATATAGGTATGTTCATTGTCCTTTCCGTCGATACATCGAACAAAAACGGTTCATTAAAAAAATTTCAGTCAGGAATCTGAACCGAACCTCAACATGTTGAAGGTAACGAAATTATTTTACCTATAAAGCTTGTATTTATATAGGAATAGTCATTTATAAATACGTCATGACTAGCTATAGGTAGCAATAGGTATATCATTAATTTTAGGTAAGTATCTGTATAGGTAAATTAGGTAAAATTCAATTGCAAAAATTTTTATTTAACACATCTTAATTCAAATAGTTACGGTTTATTAATTAATTTTTTCGCGCCAACGGTTTTAATGTCTCGATTTAAACAATATCTATCTAAAGCAACCGAGGAACAAATATCTGTATATACAGATACATATATGTTGCATTTCGCACCATTTTAATTGGAGTACGTGTTTACAAGTATAGCCAAGATAACTGTTTTAACCAGACTGTTTTTATGTGCTATAAATTAATATTACAACTTTGTTTGTTTATCGCGAGCTATTATTAATAATATCGGCCGCTTCGTTACTCTAAAGAACATTTATATTATGTTATAGAAACCCTTTTGTGGAACTACTTACAAGAAAAGACTCTTCTCGATTAAAATTTAAAAAAAAATTGTATCTTTTTTTATAGAAATTTATTATTAAGTATTTATTTAATATCAGAACAATTAATCCTTGTCTGAAGATCGTAAAGAGTTACCTAATTCTTTAGATTATTTGATGTAAAGAGCTATGTTGTAGCTTTATAAAATGTTTTCTTTTCTACATATGTATAATACTCAAAGAAATTCACTAAATATAAATATTATCTTCATTTATTAATTTCATATTTTAACGTTAAAAAAATGTCGGATAAAATACATAGAATTCTATGGATGTATAATAATTATATTGAACAAATTTAACAGAAATATTATAAAGCTTGAATTTATTGACAAGTGAATGTCTGATGATGTAGGTACTTCCATAGCTGATGAGACGAAGAGTTAGAATTATAACGATAAATAGAAAATATAATAACAAACAAATATTGCATACAAAATTTTATTTAAAAGAATATCTATTGCTCTAAAATGTCGGTCTGATTTTTTTTTTCATAAATTAATTGCACCAATGTCATGTGTATTCAGCCAACAGAGTATATTTAATATTCAAATACGATAATCATTTAATACCAATAAAATAAAAGAATCGAATTTATACTTTGCTGATTTTAACACTATTTTTCATAACTGACAGTCATTAAATTAGATGAAAATACATTTATCAACATAAAACGTCATTTATTCAATAAAATGAAAGCATTATACTAAAATAAATGTTAAAAGTCATTAAAGTCATTGTTAAACTGTTTATATGAATATATATTATGATAGCTTTAAAAGCTCTTACCTCAAATAAATGTCTCTAGTTAACGTTGCTCTAAAATAAAGACAGCAAATTACAGGGCAGAATTGCATGCGATATGCCAATAAAATTATGCTATTAAAATAATCATATGTTGCATTCGATGTCTGCTTACATTGATATAATCGATTTTTTTTAAATTCCATAATCATAACGCGCTTAATTCAAACCAAAAAAGGCGGGAATAGATAAAAGCTAGTAGACATAGATGGTACGTTAGAATTATATTTAATCTGTGGTTTATTTTTTGTTATGACAGCGTATAAACTTTAAAAATTAAAAAAATATTAATAAATTTGGATAGTAAGATTAGTTAGTACATAAATTTATTTAAATAAAATACGTAAAAAATAATGCTCTAAATACATACCTATATAAATGTTAACCCGAATGTTTCAAGTCTAATAAAAATAATTTCTTTCAAAAATCCTTCATCATCATTGACTTTGAAAACGAAAACAAGTAAATAAAAAATTCGAGATAAAACGACGCGATTCTTACGATATTATTTAATAACTATCGGGTGTTAATCAAAAAGGAATACAAAATAAAATGAGCGCGAAATTCTCCGACGAATATTTTCGTATCGCAGAAATATTTCCAATAATATTTTTTTAAAAACGAAATATTAAAAACGGAACTACGAACGCATCCACAAAAATGTTTCCGAGCGTCTGCCGCGTGTGGAAGGACTTTATTAACAATAAATGTTTAATATATATGAATAGCTAATTCATCTCAGGCTCCAATGAAGCTGAATTAATTTTATAAACGACTAAAGACGGCCATCTTGTGGGCGCGGTCTGTAACGTGATCTGTAAAGTTCAAACACTGAAGCAGTCACCATACTACATGACATTAAGCTTTTAATTTTACAAACATCACTCATGAACGTACGATAAATTAAAAATAAAACATTATTATAACTCACAATAACTTTCTATCGATGTTCTCATTTAAAATAATGAAGTAAAGATTAGATTAAAGAGGTCTTAGTCTCAAACATCACTAGATTTTCGGTTTAGACATGTTGTATTTGCAATTTTATTATCTAAATTTACCTAGTACATGTTTGGTATATATAAACAGAGTGTGTGATGCGGAATAACGCACGTTAAACACAGAAACGTCATCAAAGGCTAGTATTTGTTCTATGAATATAGCATAAACCTATTTGAGTAAATAACTCGTCAATCGTCAACACGCTATTTATTTGATGCCTTGAAATTCTATCACGATTCGAATTATCTTCAATATAAATTAAAGAAAAGGAAAGTAAGATAATTCAAATATATAAAAGATACACAATAATACAACATATTTAGACGATTGTTCAATTCATTACAAAATATATTTCATACAAAGCCGACGACTATTCAGATGTTAAAAATCTATGTGTCAGAAATTAATTAAAATCCGCTTACCACGACGCTATGACAGCGAAAACATCGTACTATAAAAATTAAAAACTTTTTTAATATTAATAGGATAGGATAGTGAGCGTGGAACTTACTCATGTTATATATATGTATAATAAATGAAAACTCTGTTTTAGATGCGATTAAACATTGCTGCATATTATATGAGAATAAAATAACAAGCAAGCATGACAGTTGGCTTAAAAAAAAGCTTAATGTGTATAAGAGGTCTGAACATTTGAGTAAAGGAATAGGTAAGTAAGAGAGTCTCTCGAAGGGATAGTTTGAAATCTAAGATATTGCTAAAAAAATACCTATTCACTATAAAATCAACGTATAAATCATCCATGTATATATTAGTTAATAGGCAATAATGTGGCTTGAAACTACGAATAAATAATTTAAAAGTAACAGCCAGTGTTTTAATAAATATATCACCAAAGTAAAGTGTACACCCGCCTTACCAAGGTATATAGAATCATATCATCTAAAAGTTATACAAACTCTTTGGACGTAACAGCTCTATGAAGTCCCAACGATAAATTTACGTTTAGAAACTAAGAGATATTTGAAATTGTACTACAATGTACATAGGAATGCTAGCAGAAATAATTTTCGCAGTTAGATACACCATGCCGGTACCAA